AATCTTTCTCTCACCTTACCCTTCAGCATTGGCTGAGGATCAAAATTTCACTCTGGCTCCCTCTCAATGTTAGGCCTCTCACTCTGGAATGATATTGTTATCAAAATGAATGTTGATATAAAAAGATATGCGATTTCCAGTTAAAAATAAATAGTGACACAGTGAATAATGAGTATCCAGTCGATCTACACATCCAGTCGATGTACACATAAAACAAATCTTGCAAAATCCCAGCAAAAACCAACTATAATAACATATATGGCCTTGCAACTAACCACCAATGAACCACGCATTTCTGGAAACATGCGTCAGAAGCGTCACCAACAGCTGATTGCGAGGAATGTTACAGCGACTAAATTATTGCGGCCGTAGTTAGTCGAACTTGTTGCGAAAACACTGTTGTATAATGCATATTCATGTGCCATTCTGATTAAATTATTTTACACAACAGCTAAAGTTTTACAATTCAGAGGTTAATCACCGGTTAAGAAATAAAGAGACAGTAAATGCTAAATTAAATGTAATGATTTTATAGATGGTCTTGGTAATGCTCTCCGGCTGGTCATCTGTCGGCATACAAATGATAAGGACGTAAACAGACAAAAGAAATAAATGCGACCAGCTACGTGGTTTTGTAACATGTATAACTGCTATTTTGAGGCATTCAAAAACCAAGACAGAAAAACTGATTGAAAATTATTGCGTCATCAATGACAGCTTTCCTTCGCCTCAGAGACCAAAATTGACGCAGTCAAATGCCAATCCTTGTCAGAATGTCGGAAGTGCGCCAGTATTGTATTGCGTTATGTTTGGGCCGGCCAGTCCATATTTTGATTTTTTGTAAGGGTAATTGGTGTGTTATTTTCGTAATATAGGGTGGAACAGAACATAGAGTAGGATAGGTAATCAATGAATTTGCATCAAATTTTGTTTAGCTGATAGCTCTTTTTTTATGCCGACCAGACGCAAATAAAGTAACATGTGGCATTTGCTCTGATTTTCAACATCTCATTTAAGTCTGGGTTCTTCCAAATCCATAATGTATATCTAGTGCACACTGCACAGTGCACATAGACTTCAGTTCAGCTTCCTATAAGTTTGCTTTCAGGGTCTTTTATGTTTTATGGAATGCTTTCATCAGCATTTATTTATGCTTATTAGTAGTTTATTGCTCGTACCCTGGTTTGGTCATTGCCAGACTGTGGATGCTATTGCTGGTTGTTTTCAGTTTTGCATTTGAAATGTGCTTCCTTGGTATATTTTTATATTTGGTTCTGTTTTAAAAGTTGTTTTGATGAATATTGTATTGTTAACCTGAGCAAATGCACTTGGCATTGTGTTTTGCATCTAAAAAAAATAAAAAATTATAGGTTCTTAAGTCTGACCGCCAAATACCCGCCACACGACAAGTTTTGCTTCTCGAACCCGCCAAAAACCCTGCGGGTTTTGAAAACCCGCAGAAAGCGGGTTCGCGGGTTCAAAAAGGGCATCTCTATTCTGAAGCGATCGGTTAGTCGGTGTATTTAGATATGATGAGCACAGGAACTTTCCTTGAGGTAAGTTCACTTGACGTAACCTGATGTTATGACCTTGAATTGAAAGACTTGGGCGGAAAAAATGGGTCATTTGAAATCTTAAAATGCTAGATTTTAACAAAAATTGCAAACACTATCCCGGCCAAATATTGAGTGAGAGGGGAGCGATTCCTCGATCCCATGTTTAGCTCCTATAATTGAGCTAGCTGCTAGAGCCTCGCGAAAAAAAAGACGAGCGCTTGCGTCGTTACATGACGCAGCGACTGGCATCCCATTTTAAAATATCAGTGACCTCTTAGGGCAGGTCAAGGGCCCCAAGGCATTTGATCGGTTCTTGGTATATAACTAAACGCATTTTCGTCATTTCGATACAATCGTGTTTTCTGTTCTCAGACGCGTCGATTTATATGCTTCTTTGTTTAGGTGAAGCAATTTAGGATGTTTACCTCAGGTCAATGTCATGTTAGGGCAACGCAGGTCACGAAGCTGTTGAAAGGAGGACATGTTGCATAACATTTGATTCGGCAAGTCTTGCAAAGTCCATTGATGGCTGTCCCGACTGGCTAGCTCATTTTGATCGGGAGTTATTGACGAAACACTCCTATGACCGTAGTGACGTCATAAATGACGTCACGCAAGGTGAACAATGCAAAAGTGAAGCATTAGACGTGCATTAGACCTTGCCAAGAATGTATGAAGTCACGATTTCATGTGCTTGAGGTATAAATATATATTTATATTTAGTTTCAGATCATTTCCGACGCCAAACAGTTTCCATAATTCCTCATTATGCTTATACGACACTAAATGCATTGCGGATTGCATCATTTTATAACCGACAACCGTGCAGAGGTTTACCTAAGACGTCATAGTTAAGTGACCTGACCTGAAAACGTGGTTGATGTCAAGTGATCCGGCTTGAATGAAATGTAAGGCATGTGAAATGTCAGCCTCAGTGTGCTTTGAGCTACCGCAAAAAATGCATGGTGGCGGCATCCACCCCTTCTTCTCGGCCGGCGAGGGTTAAACCTCGCTTCGAATTATTGCAGATAATGATGTGACCAAAAGCAAAGCATTATTCTGTGTCTAGAACGGCTGCTGACTTGTTGGACAAGATCCCCAATCTTAATTCGCTAGATGGGAATAAAATACTCGGTATGTGATACATATAGTTATACCCCTCGATTTGCCCTCGCGCTAAGTCTATTTTAATCATCACTGTCGCTTTTTTATCCGAGATGATGTCGCCGCTAAACGGGTTGTTTTGTTTGCTTGCTTGCGCTGAATGGCCATTACAGATTATTGAAGGATTATGATAAAATAGGAATGGGGCAGGGGAGGATATGCACTGCAGGTGTTTAATTTAGATCACAAAGGCATCATTTCCGACATCGTGCAGAGTCATTATCTTCCCCTCCTCTGCACTGCGGCATCTCTGCGCCCCACACACGGCGTCCTCACTCCACGGCCGGCCGCCGCCAACTGACCCCTCGCCGGGCGCCGCGACCTGACCCGTGTCGCTGCCGCGGCCTGCGCAATAGAGTCGGGGCTGGAATCCGGGGGTTCGGCCGGCCGGCCGCCTCTGCCGCCTCTGGAGCGGGGGACTTTTTTAGTAGACCTACTGTACTAAGAATACCCGTCACACCTACTGGTTGACCTGACCTGACCTGACCCGACCTGGTCTAAATCCTTAAAGACATCATCTGTGATCAAAACTAACACGATATTCGTGATCAGCACCCCGAAAACCCCTTAGCAGCCACACTTTACGACTTTCTAACAGGTCCCGATTTTCCCGACTTTGGGTCATTGACCTGACCTAGAAGGTCAACCAATGACCTAGGACCTTAAAATTGGGTATCATCGGCTTCCTCTCGTCACGGGCAACACGCTCGTTTTTTCCGCGAAGCTCTAGCTCGATCAGGGGCCAAACGGCAAGGGGGGGGTCCAACCGACCCCCCCCCCCTACACATTAGAAGCTGGCAAACGCCGCACACATGCGAGGGTTAATGCATTCTGAAAGTACCTTCGTTTTTTCTCAAATAAATATTAATTATTATCCCTCGTTTGTAAAATTAAGTGGCCGAAATCCAACGAGGAACGCAGACTTGGGGTTATGTCGATATTGGCGACCAGACTCAAGCGAAGCTGTCTGTGGCGACGCCCTGGAAAAATGTCCTAGAAGTTCTGAAACCTTGGTGACGCAGCTGCCGTGTAGTGACCAAGGCCCTATATACCGTAGTGACCTCGGTGACCTCCAAATGTCAACTTGACGTTTTCGCCAAGACACCCAGTAAGAAAACTCGCTAATTGCAGGATATCTGATAATTGCTGTTCAGTGATACCCAAGATTCTTACAGATAACGTGATACCTACCCAATATACTCACTCAATATACCCTGATACCTACCTACCCAGTACCCACCTTCACCGCCTACACCTACCCAATATGGCCTTGTACCCAATTATTTCCGTCAATACATTGGTGGCGCAGCTGTTGCAAAATAAGTTTTGGCGCTGTTCATACTGCTGCTGTCAATTTCAATATCAAGAGAAAGTAGCCAAGAAAGCAACCAGAGTTAGTAGCCAAGGAAAGCAACACTACGCATTTACCTGCATTTTCCTTTGGTCCGGCTTCGGTAAACATCTCGATTGATTTGTGAATCAACAGTTTCAGGCAAGATTGTTTCAGGATGCATGGTTCTGATGCGTGATCGCTTCTGAAGTATTGGTGCGATTGAGCCATTTTCTGTCAAAAATAAGCATCGTTTTGATGTTTATCTATTTTATGTTTATTTATTGCTATCAGGGCTGCGGAGTCGATGGATTTTTGGCGACTCCGACTCCGACTCCGACTCCGGCTTTCAAAAACCAGCTCTGACTCCGACTCCGACTCCGGGCAGAATTGTCGACTCCGACCGACTCCAACTCTCGACTCCGACTCCGCAGACCTAGCAGGGCTGCGGAGTCGACAGATTTTCGGTGACTCCGACTCCGACTCCGGCTCGGGTTTCTAAAATCGACTCCGACTCCGACTCCGACTCCGGTCACAACTGTCGACTCCGACCGACTCCGACTCCGACTCCGACTCCGACTCCGCAGCCTTGATTGCTATACTCCTTATTGGTCAGTTTATTTATATTTTCATGCCTGCTTGATTGAATAATTTGATGGTGAAGCTAAATTGATTTGGGATTTGATTTAACGTTCTTACATACAAAGCCTCGGATGGAACGGTTACGGAAACTACTATAAACTCATGCCAAGATTTGTTCATTGGCGTTTCCAAGCTAAGCTCAAACTATTAGGCTAATAATCTGTGCTGCCAAATAAAGTTTATTTGCCACGTTAAAGGTATTATCAGGGTTTTTTCCGAAATTTCGGAGTTACTCAGTGAAACGTGTAGATGAAGGTGGCTGAGGCCCCGATCCGAAGTCATTCGTCTCAAAATTGCCTAATTTCCAAATGGTGGGCCTCCAAAGTTGATCCGTCTGCCAGCCAGTACCTGGAGGAGGCAGTACCAAGTACTCGGATACATTTCCCTATAAGTCCATAGGCTTAACACTAGCTAGAGACTTCTAGAGATATTTTGTATGCCAGATAAGGCCGTCGCATACCAGATAAGGCCGCAATGGCCGTTCAACGTTACGTGGGGAAATTGGAGAAATCTAAAGACTTTTTTCTCTCTGACGTCTCCACTCCGCAACTGGCAAGCGTTGTTAGCATTGGCTCGTGTCGTCGTAAATAAGATTTGTTTGACGGATATTCCGTTAGTTGAGTGTGTTGTTGTAATTTCTGAGGCTGTATGAGTTGGACGGAATGGCGCCATCCCGCCAAGTGCGAAATCGGCGGTGTAGTGTGAAGGGTTGTGGAAAAACAAAGGCTGATTGTCATTTGTCCCGATCTCAACTTCTTCCATGTTCCGAAAAACCGTGTCAAGTAAGTCCAATTTGAAATGCTGGAGATTGCGGGGCAGGCACTAAGTGAAAAACAGTTGCATATTTTACGAAATTGTATTAATATATTTTTTATGTCAAACATGCACAAATGTAATGATCAAATGTTTGAAGTGTTTGAAGTCTATAGATGGCCTTGGTTTGAAGTGTTTGAACACACAAATGTTTGAAGTGTTACTCATACATCAAACAGTAAGGCGTACGAGTAAATTGTGTGGATGAAGTCTGAGTGGTCCGAGGAAAAAAAACAAGCGAACTTGACCTAAGTCCTAATATTACCTATTACCTAATAACCTACTAAACTACAGCATCCCACGAACCTACAACCTACATGCTTCAGCTTACAACCTACAACCTACAACTCGGAGTTCATCTACACATATAACTAAAGTACTCAATGTACTATCTGTGGTTACTTGTTATCTGTTACTTGTACTGGAATGGCAAGCCTTGCAATTTTCCCAGACCTTTGATCACAAAGTCATGCTGTTTTTAGGAGACTTGCTTGGGTGGCTGTCCTAGAAGATGGCTTGGCGGACAAGCAGGTTGACAAAGCACTTGTGTGTAGCTGCCACTTCAACCCTCAAGATCTTTTGCTTGGAGAAAGGGCTAGAACGTCACCACATGCCGTACCGTCAATAGCAGTCGTGGAAGGTGGGTTTGGCATTTCCTTTGTAATTGAACTGGTTTTTAGCACAACTTGTAAAAGTGGCACGAACATTGTTACATTGAACACTTGATGTGATGTAGAACCTGATAGCTGATGTGGAGTCTTGCAAATTGTATGAACAGCAGCTGGTGCATTGAGCCTGACAAGTGACGTTGGCACCCTAGTAGTCTCGTGTTTGAGTGTGGTCACCTAAAAAACTTGTGTGTAACCAACCATAAAGTTTTTAAATATAATTTTGGGATAATATTGATGTGGTGTGTTTTGGTCATATGGCTTGGATGGTGACTAACACTAATTAAGGAATGCTTCTTCACGACAATCTCCAGTCTCCTGAAGCACCATCATCTATATTTTCTTCCCAGGGATTCATCCCTGAATCACAATCATTACCTAGGCCAGATAACTTTGCTGGGCCACATGGTCAAAACAGTTGCAGCTACAGGGTAGGTATACCAGCTGTACATGTATTTGACAGACTAAACATTCTTTCTGTACATCTGGACAGGTAAACTTGATAGGCGGCCGGCGCGCGCCCATCGGCACCGGCGGCCGGTGCGCGCCCATCCCATCGGCACCGGCGGCCGGCGCGCGCCCATCCCATCGGCACCGGCGGCCGGCGCGCGACCATCCCATCGGCACCGGCGGCGAGCGCGCGCCCGTCCCATCGGCACCGGCGGCCAGCGCGCGCCCATCGGGCACCGTCGGCGGGCGCGCGTCCATCGGCACCGGCGGCCGGTGCGCGCCCATCCCATCGGCACCGGCGCCGGCGCGCGCCCATCGGCACCGGCGGCAGGCGCGCGACCATCCCATCGGCACCGGCGGCGAGCGTGCGCCCATCCCATCGGCACCGGCGGCGGGCGCGCGCCCATCGGCACCGGCGGCCGGTGCGTGCCCATCCCATCGGCACCGGCGGCGGGCGCGCGCACATCGGCACCGGCGGCCAGCGCGTGCCCATCGGGCACCGGCGGCGGGCGCGCGTCCATCGGCAGCGGCGGCCGGCGCGCGCCCATCGCCGGTGCGCACGCGCGCGCCCATTGCAGAGAGAGGTGATGTGATTGACCCTGTTGCCCCCCCCTCCCCCACCCTCTGACCCGCCCGCGCGCCCCGACAGGTCGTCGTGTAGCGCGGCGCTCCGCCAGCTGCTGTGCTGGGGTTGGCGGCGCTCAGCAGCTACCAGCTGATGCAGCGCGCCGTGCTCGCTCGCCGCGGCGCAGTGTTTATAGCGCGTGCGCCGGGCGCTGACGGCAGTCGTCTGGCAGCGACAGCTCTGCCGGTGACGGCACACGCTGCTGCTGCAGAAACTGGACAAGGGCCTGCTTGGGCTCCTGGTCCTGGATCGGTACGCCGGCTCAGTCACCTGATGACGGCGGCGCACAGCGTGACCTACCCGCCCTACAGCCGGCCCAGCAGGGTGAGTAGTGAACTGAGTACTGAGTAGCGCTCAGAGTTAGCTTGAAGTTGTTTAACATGATGCACTGTTCTTCATGAGTCGTCCCCATCGCTGCTTGTGACTTGCAAGTTCCTTCTTTTTCGGCAGTGCGTCCCAGCAGCGATTTTCACCTCTGAGAAGTATAGTTGCCGTACTAGTGAAAAAGTGTATATCTTTGAAATAAACATTCCGTTTCATCTGCCCACTACCACTAACGCCCCTCTGCCCTCTCCTGCAGCGGACGGGGAGACCCACCTGACCGCTCCTTCCCCCTGTTCTGCTGCAGGCGGGGAGGCCCGCCCTGACCTTCTCCTCTACCCTCTGCCCTCTCCCGCAGCGGACGGAGAGGCCCGCCCGGGCCCAGTGCCGCACGGAGAGGCGGTGGCGCTGGAGGCCAACACCCCGGCTCGCGACCTGTAGCTGACGGTGCTGGAGCCGCGAGTCACCGTGTTGGCTGGCCATGGAGACTTGGAAAAGGTGGGTCTCCGCGCAGCGGAGGAAGGGGCGGCGGCTGACAGTGGTGGCCGCCAACGGGGAGCTGGGCGGCGTGGGTCCATGCATAGCGGGGATGTTCGAAAGGACAGCATCAGCTGCATTGTTTGAAGAGCTGCTGCAGTTGGGCGTTGAGATATGATCGCAGACTTGCAAGGAGATGGGCTCCTGAGATGCGTGCTTTTTTTTTTGCTCCGATGATCCGGCTGATCGCTGTTCTATGAGGTCGTATTACCCGCCCGCGGTCACCAGGCCGGGGAGGTATATACGTCTACAGCAGCTGTGTTATTTGTCTGTCCCGGTTGTATCACCCAGTCTTCCCCCGTCCTCAGGCCGGTGAGGTGCGTCTCCAGCTGCGCTGTCAGACGATCCAGTGGAACGAGCAGCAGCCCATGTACCCGTCCCGGCTGTGCCGGTGTGTCTCCCAGCTTGAGCGGCGCCGGCCGACCGCTGCGCTGCTCTACAACTGCCACGTCCACACACGATGCACGGTCAGTCATTATACCGAGTAATGCTAATTATAACCGCGGGTGTTTTGTTAGAATGGCCCTGAGAGTGTGCCTTTGTTGTGTGATTATTGTTGAGTGCGTTTTCTAGTTGTGAAGTACACTGTGGTAGGCTCGACATTACTACTCATTAGAAGTGGCGGGAACACTGCCCCAATGCCCTATTGTCGATTGGAAATGAATAACTACAGCCGCGGCTCCTGACTGTATCCCTTTTCCCCGTGCGCCCTATCGCAGGTGACGGCTGACCAGGCGGTGCTGGTCTCGACCGCGGCCGACGGCCAGCCCGCCCAGGAGCACCAGGTCGCCTCGCTCTCCTCAGCCTCGGTCTACTGGAAGGCGCTGCTGGCGCCGGCCCTGTGGGCCGGCTCCCAGCACCCGCTCACAGAGCAGGTGTGCCACGCCGACTGGCTGCACTGCGCCGACGACCGGGGGACCGCCGGCGCTGAGCCGGCCGGCTCGCAGCTGGACCTGCCACTAGAGACGGACCTGTGCGACCTGGACGTGCGGCTGTGTCAGACCGGCTGGTGCTGGGCCGGCGCCGCCCGGTGCGCTGTCAGCTGGACGGCCGGCCCGTGCTGGCCGCGCCCCAGGCGGCCGACGCGCCGGCTCCCGGCGGCGGCGGCGAGCGGGCGGTACGGGCGCTGCTGCAGCTGCCGACAGCTGCCGCCGCCGCGGACAGCTGCCCGCTGCTGGTGGTCGTCTCCGAGCCGGCCCTGCTCTGCTGGCAGCCGGCACTGCTGCTCTGGCTGTCCCTGGCCACTCAGCTGGCCAGCAGCTGAGTGGCTCGGCGCCGCCGCCACTACCCCAGCCGCCCGAGCCGCCGCCGCCGCCGCCATGGATGTGCCCCGGCCGCAAGGACACTCGGGTACCTCGCGATCGGCACGGAGCCACACCACGGAGAGGAACCTACCCGCAGTGTCACCCAACACCTCCGCTGCGGCGGCCGTCTCCCCCACTCCGCCGGCGCCGCCCGCCGCTCCGACTTTGGCCTGGCTGCCGGCCCTGGAGCGTCTGGAGGTGCGCCTTCAGATCAGCGCGGTCACCGTCACCGTTCCGGCCGGTCCAGAGAGCGGCGGCGGGGCGGCCGGGGACGCGGAGCGGACGGCGGACCCGCTCCCGGCCGCGGCCGGCCACCACCCGGCGCCGGTACCGGGCCGGGTCCGCAGCAGCAGCGACTCGGGCCACCGGTACTGCCTGCACGGACAGCTGGTCTCTGTGCTGCCGTCAGTCCGACTGGACAGCGCTGCGCTCAAATCGGCCGCCCTGCCGACAGTGCCGGAGGTGCCCGTCCGACTCACCAGACCTTCAGCGGCCGCAGGTCAGTCGCGGCCGCCGCACGGCCAGCTCATACCGGCCACTGAGGAGGGCTTTTCCATAAAACTCTCAGTGCTAGTGATTTTGGCATTGGCATGGGGGCGGGTATTGGTACTCACTACTCACCCTGCTGGGGCCGGCTGTAGGGCGGGTAGGTCACGCTGTGCGCCGCCGTCAACAGGTGACTGAGCCGGTGTACCGATCCAGGACCTCAATTATGATTATAAGTAAAACGGGATGTAGGGATGAAGTCAGCTTGTGCTCAAGACTGACGTCATGACAATCGACACGTGAATATAACGGGCATGTTTGCTCCTTGCTGTCGTGCGGGCGTTCGAATCTCTCCCAGTTTGTTGGCCCGTGTCTCTCTCCCGTCCCCCGGGTCTCTCCGCCGGCTGACTCCGCTCTGTCTGTTCCAGCCGGCTCCCAGCTGCGCTCGCCGAGCCAGACGCAGCAGGTGATGTCGCCGTCGGTCGTGGTGCGCGACTGTGCGTCCATCCCGTGTCCAACGCCCCCCCCCCCCCACACCGCGCGCTGCTGCCGGGCCCGCCGTCGTAGTTTTATGGCCTTGCGCCGTCAGTCGCCAGCTGGTGGTGGCGACCCATGATCGCTCGCGTACGTTCGCCGGCGCGCCCATTGCAGAGAAGGGGTTCGCGCATGCCCATTGTAGAGGGGCGCGCCCCTTGCGGAGGCGGTACGCGCTACGCTGTAGACAGTAATGCTTGTTGGGTAGCCCCTTTGCACATTGTTTGTTCATGGATGTAAATACAAGTTACATGACTGATGAGTGTAATGCTTACATTTTTGAACTAAGAAATGCCACAGGGCAGGTTACCTTGGTGAGTTTCTGATATCAACATACTGAACATAAGAGCAGAATAATTATCCATAGAGCGTTAAGGATTTTAGCCACCGAATTCACCAGTCAGTAATTGCACATGGTGGCACCATGAGCATGAGTACCTCGCCTTGTCCGATCCTTTTCACAACTAGCAAGTAGAATGTGGGAAAAGGCAGGGAACTTCAAAGCATGCGCATATGTAGATAGCTGATGATTCTCTCTGTTCAAGCACGATCTGGCACTCTGCAGCCTGTTCTGTTCCACATGAGTTGCCGGGACAGCATCACGCATGAATTTCTGCATGCTTCAAACAGAAATGCCTTAATTTTCCTTAAAATATATTCATTTTTCACACAAAGACAACAAAAATGTACATGCAGGTGGGTACTGTGGCAAGAAATTACATACAAATGTATTTTGCCATGTAGGTACCCTCCTTTCACATCACAATCATCAATCATAATTAAGAGCACCAAGACGTTCTTTGCGACTTGCGAGCCCAGCCGTGTCAGACCAGCTGATGCAGGGGCTCTGTCACAGGGGGCACAAGGCCCAGTGGTTATGTCACAGCACAATGTTGTACAACCTGCTATTCAAGAACACTTAAATCTTGAAAAACCTGTAGCTCTCTTGTCACCTCACTTTTCGCACTCTTGACAAATCACTAATCAGTCAGATCAAGACTGAAAATTGAAGAGGATAAGCTCTTTTGTGGGATGTACTTGCAGTTTCAATTCAATGACATAAATTACTCGAAATTACCATTTAAATTGTACTGTACCATGACGAATCTACCATTGAAAGAAAATTGTATCATGACCCTGATATAAAAAACTGAAACAAGCTCCAATTGCATATGATAAATTTGGCGATGTTTATAAATCTTGCTGCCTTAGACAAGCAAATCTTCAATTTGTTTCAATTTCAGTCGAGTTCTTCACCAAAAATCCATCGTATATCGACAACCAATGCCTATCACCGAAATCTTGTAGAAATCCTCAATCCCGCAAAATTTCGCAAGGCCGCTCTTTGTTTACATTATAGTGATGGGCCAATCTGACCGCTCAAGTACTTGTTTTGCGGGAGTAAGTACATTTTTGTCGTTTTTCAAACGGCTATAACTTGCAAAGTATAGCATCAATAGGCATTTTATGTATATCGTTGAAATCGGCAGAGTCTGGAGACTTAACTGATAGGCAATACATTCCGATTCCTTTCAATTTTTAAACCCTGATAATCCCTTTAATTAACGTGACCGAAATCGAGCAGCACTCAAATCAAATAGCAAGTTCAAGTTGAAAATTGAGAGGTGTTTCGCAGCAGGGGGTGTCGAAGTCTAGTAGGAAAATCTGGCAAATTCCCTGCGTGACGTCACGTCGGGGATGACCGACGGCACCTTGCACTGAAAGATACGGCAGAACGGCTATTTTTGAAAAATGATTAAAAATACTTTTGTGCTGTTATGACGCATAAAACGCTAATCAGCATGTTCCTCATCATGTGATAAAGGCATATCCGTGGTCGAAAATAGCTGAGCCCCTCCCAATTTCCAACCACCGACCTCATAAGCAAAGGATGTAAGCGTAATCCTTAAGGGCGACTTTCCTATACATATCCGTACATATGCGTCCTTATGGAAATCGGTAGTGTGGCGATTGGCGACGCGCGCGACATCTGTGTGGCGACCAAGTGGCGACTGTGGCGACACCTGGTGGCTGCTTTTCTGCTGTATGTAGGCATTGGGGTTTTGCCAGATGTGGTTCCTACTGCTACACCACTATGTTGACCCAATACTAGAAAAGTTATTTTGCTAGTAAAAGGCAAGCAAATTGAAAGTTGATTTATAAAATTGCTTATAAATGATTACGAGATAATAATAAAGAAATTTTGATTGAATAATTATTTAAATAATCAACCGTGAAACTATATTCTGGTAGGTTTAGTAGAAATAAGTCCGTGCAACCTTGTATTTAGGGCCTTGTTTCGCAGGTGTTTCGTGACCTCGACTTGACCTCAACAGCTCTCTCGGTGACCTCTGCGGTGTGGGTGCAGCCGCCGGGCACTTGATTAAAAACAAGATAGGCATGGGCGGCGCCACCGGGGGGGACGGGGGGGACAGGTCCCCCGCTATCGAAAGTTAGGGGGGTACAGTACCCCCCTATCGGCGATGCCCGTTCAATAGTTGATAATAATGCATTATAAAGCTATCCGTCGCATTTAATGCATCGTTGGTTAATCAAGGCAGGTTCTGAATAAAGATTGCTGTTGGGATGCACCGCAGGGGGTCCTGGCCATCTGCAAAAGGTGTGGAGCTGTGATGCCTGTAGTTATAAGGTGATCGGCAGGGCCTCGGGGATCGTGCCCCCTTTTTGGGGCGCCAGGCAGGGTTATTACTTATTACCTCCCCACCCCACTGCCAGACCCCATTGCCGATAAAGCCAAGTTCACTGAAATTCCATAGATATCCGTTACTATATGAAAATTTTCCATTCCTAATTAGTCAAATTCAAGCATGGCAGTTATACCAAAGGAACCATTTGAAATCTATGCCATTTAACCCCAGCACTTGTGGGGAGAAGTGTTCGGATAGATCACAGGCAGGACCAAAAAAGCACGCAGTAGCCCAGGACCTTATAATTGGATATAGCATCGGCTCCCTCTCGTCAAGGGGTTCGATAGCACTCGTTTTTTTTTCTGCAAAACTAAGTTCGGTCGGCGGCCGAACGGCTGGGGGTCTAATCGAGCCCCCCATCCCTCCCCTTCTTACGTCAGCGGCTGTGAAAATGCCATTACCAGCTGTTGAAACATGGCAGTTGCTTTTGCATGAGTGCACGAAAGGGTTTTAGGTCCGTGATACGTGAAAGGTTCTACATGAAAATTGAGATACACCAGCTTATCAAATTGTGCTCACTGTGGTGCGCTCGGTTTTACCTGGACTAGTCTTTGAATTCTGGGGTGAAACAGACCAGTCAAGAAACCTGTTCCATAAGGAGAGCCACTAAATGCTAAAGAGATGTGGGATGAGGTTTCCAGAGACCTTCATTACCTCCCAAAGGGGGTGCCCCGCCATTTGCCAATCCCTGCTGTAGTTGTTACGATTGGAGGGTGAATATGAGAACGATGCAGGTCGTGCCAGCTCGATCATGACGAACACAATGGTGCCGACATCACAGCTCTACTGCCATTTTTGACGAAGTGAATCAACAAGCACCGGAATCCTACCCTGGGGCATTTCACCTGCAGAGGTCGCCGGACCTGAGACCCTTTCACTCATTTTTTTTTTCAACGGTGCATGCGCTCGTTTTTCCCGCGAAGCTCTTGGCAAGAAATCGATCAGAAAGTGTGGTCAAATAACGGCTGGGGACCTTCCATGACCTAGCCTTTTGAGTGACCACCGATGACATGACCACTGACGGCTAGCCATTAGCTGCACCCTGCCCGTTGCATATGGATCAGGTGGTGTCATGATTCTGAAATTATATTGCAGTTTTGGCGCACTTGTCAGAGCAGAAGACATTCCCACTTTTCCTCCATTACTATATGATGGTGAAGCCCTGAAGCTGACCAGACGTAAGATCGAAAATTTGAAAGTATGAAACGTAAGAATAGCTGGCACTGCTACTCATACCTAAGCAATTCGCAGCTTGTAGGAAACCAGCTTTGAGTTGGCAAGACTGCAAATTTTGATTTAGAGGCAAGGATGCTTGAAAAGGTGATCGATCTTAGGTGTCCTAGGATAAGTTTGGAAACGGGATGCACCATTCGATGTGTTTTGGGCCTTGCCAAGTTTCGCGGCGTTACGTGCCTCGTTTTTTTGCATACACGATCAGTATCTACTTTTTGGATTTTCGATTTTCGGTCCCCGTCCCCCCCTATCGAAAACCCGTGGCGCCGCCCCTGAAGATAGGTACCCTGCCCACGTTTATACACTTGGTAAAAACTCAGGCTGGTACAAAAACTGGTCGAGTTGTGCCCTGCCCAATCGTTGTCATTCACACCACTCATTTGTGCTGTTTGGTTCAGTTTGGTTGCTGTTGCTGGCAATTGGACAAGGAGTAGTGTGGGGCTATTTGCATTGAGAAGAGGATTCCTGCTTGTTTTTATATATCTTGATTTCAGCTTAAGAATTCGAATTTCAAATTAAGGTTTGTCCTTCCTTTTGCTTATACATTTGATGTTTTGTGATAGGGGAGGATGGTGTAATTTGGACGACGGTGAAAACAGGGCTAGCTAGATGCATCTAGCTAGGCGTCTATCTAGATGCATCTAAGTATTAGACATGTCTAGCTGGACGGCGGCTGCATCTATCTGGTGACAGCTAACTTTAGACGTTTCTAGCTTGGAAGTCTCCGTCCAACAGTTGGACGCCAAGTTAGACGCCAACCTGTACGTCTGCTCAGTTAGACGCCAGTTGGATGCCAATGGAAGTCCAAAGTCTGCACCCTTTACTTGCAAATATTTCACCAATTAAGTGATTTAGATCTATGCTCTAACCCTCGCCGGCACAGGCCATTTTGCGTCCTTCGACGGCACAAGGGGGTTGGTTGGTATGACCCCCCCCCTCGTGTTTGGCCTTTGATCGAGCTAGTGCTTTGCAGAAAAAAACGAGCGTGCTGCCCGTCATGAGAGGAAGCCGATGGTACCCAATTTTAAGGTCCTAGGTCATCGGTTGACCTTTCAGGTCAGGTCAATGACCCAAAAGTCGGAAAAATCGAGACTTGTTAGAAAGTCGTAAAGTGTGGCTGCTTATGTTTTTTTTTGGGTACTGATCACGAATATCGTGTTAGTTTTTATCACAGATGATGTCTTTAAGCAATAAGCATTTAGACCAGGTCAGCCGTCAGGTCAGGTCAACCAGTAGGGATCGTGACGGGTATTCGTACTGAGTACGTGCCAACCGCCTCTGACAGCTTCGTACCATGCTACGAAGGCACCAGAACTACTTTTTATATGCTCAAATGGTTGCTAAATTCGAATTCAGCTAAAAAAACTAGCCTACAAACATGTAAAACTCGAAAAGTGAACCGAGACTCCAATTCTTGACCTGACAAATTATTTCACAGGATACACATCATGCGTCTGGTAATTTTGGACAATGCTAATCAGGTGGCTGATTGGTCTGCTCGATACATTGTGAAGCGCATCCGTGATTTTAACCCTGGTCCGGATCGGTACTTTGTGCTTGGTCTTCCAACAGGTAGGTAATTTATTGCTTGCTCATGACGTGTGCAATCTTTATTTTATTGGTGACCTGTAATGGAACATCCAAATGTTCCTATCAGAGTTAGGCAGTTGCATAAAATGTGGGTTGACAATAGCTGTTTGTTCAAAATGTGCCTGACTATTAAGTTCCAGTATTATTTTTTATCGAGTTTTGTACCTGTTGTAATAGTAGGCAGCTGTCATAATGTTACCTTTGAACAGGGCAGGGCAGACTGTTTTAAGGTGTAGTGATCAGGTTTTATGTCTGTTTTAAGGTGGTACTCCTGCTGGAACATACAAGAAACTTGTCGAGCATTACAAAGAGGGAAACATTTCCTTCAAGTATGTCAAGACCTTTAACATGGATGAGTATGTTGGTATGTATGCGGTCTATTCCATTTATGCTTTGGCTTCCTGGAAGTTAGATTCGTCAAATGTATTTTTTGAGTTTGGCTACCTGCATTGATTGAATGCCAAATACTTAGTCTGTTGACTCCATCATTCATGGGTAGTTTTTATATCGAACTTGATATGTGCTGATCTATGAGTTACGGAAGTGCAACTTACCTACATCAGCTTTACTAGCGTACTTTTTGCAGGCTCTGTCTGTTAGCTTTTTATTTTATTTGAACTACAATATCCTACCGAGGCTCAGCATAATTTTGCACTAAAAGACGGGATTTGCTGCATGACACTCTCCCTTCATCTCTGCAGGTCTGCCCCGCGACCACCCGGAGAGCTATCATTCATACATGTGGAACCACCTGTTCAAGCACATTGACATCCACCCAGAGAACGTTAACCTGCTGGATGGCACCTGCTCTGACCTAGAGGCAGAGTGCGCCCGGTATGAGGCCAAGATCGCGGAGGCCGGCGGCATCGAGCTCTTCATGGGAGGTGGGTGGGAATATTACTATAGTTCGTTTTTTTTTTCAAAAGGACGCTGGCTCCAAGTATGTTTTTCGAACAAGCACGTGTTTTAGCGAGCAAAACGAGCAAAAACTGAACCTGAGAAAATCGAACGTCGACTAATTTTAACATGTGATTTCTTCCCGATAATTTCCATATGGGCGTTTTGGAACCAGATATGAGAACAGCGGTGACGTCATGCTGTCGAACATGTATTTCAATGTAACTTATGACTATCATGGACGGAACCGCTCACTCGATTATAAGCTCGGCAACAGTGAAAAACTGTTCTGCACCCAAATTCGTTGACACTTGTCCCACTGCACGGACATTTGGGTGCCTGCTGCCACCAGTGACATCATCATAGAATGTTCATTTTCAAGAAACAATTTCCAGCTACTTACCGTGCAAAATTTGAAATCGATTATTTTTTCGGTAAGAAATTCTTGGCCAGACACTGAAGCTGCCAAAACTCACGTGAGAGCTTCGATATTGAACTTTGAGCCAGCGTCCTTTTGAAAAAAACGAACTATAGGTAGATAAGTCTTGAATATGTTTCAACGCTAACTTGAGAGACATTGTAACAAATAGTAAGAAAATTAACCTCACTCTCATTCTATCTAAAAGTAAATTCCAATTCGCCAGTCACGCCACTTACCAGTCTGCTTCGATAGAGCTTGTTCAGTGTATTTGCTATTTCCTCTTTCACATTCTCAAAGAGGACCTGTTCTAAAATCCCCGCTGACCTGATCTGTGCGCTCCCCTGCCTGGCGGCGGTGCAGGGATCGGTCCCGACGGTCACGTGGCGTTCAACGAGCCCGGCTCTTCGCTCGTGTCCCGCACCCGCGTCAAGACGCTCAACCAGGACACGATCCAGGCCAACGCGCGCTTCTTCGACAACGACATCAGCAAGGTGCCGACGCGTGCGCTGACGGTCGGCGTCGGCACGGTCATGGATGCTAATGAGGTCAGTCGGGTCGGGAGGTCACCGAAGGTCACGGGGCCGGTTGGGTAGGTGGTGGAGTGCTATGCTGTTCCCTACACCCGCTATATTCTGCTGACTGTTAACCGTCTAGCTAACCTTCAACTGACACCTGTTGTTATGATGTCGTACATACAGGCACTCATCTTGATCACTGGCCAGCACAAGGCAGACGCGACCTAACTTACCTAACCTAACCTAACCTAACCTAACCTAACATAACCTAACCTAACCTAGCCTGTGTTGTTCTGATGTCGTACAGGTGCTGATCCTGATCACGGGCCAGCACAAGGCGTACGCGCTGCACCAGGCCATAGAGGAGGGCGTCAACCACATGTGGACGGTGTCGGCCTTCCAGGTGGGTTCCGTTGCTGGTGACCAGTCGCACCGCCCGTTATGATACCTCGCGATCGAAACGGGTAGGTGGGCGCAGTCTGCGGCTATTGACTGATGTATGGTTGTGGAATGTGGATGGTGGGCTCGTGGATGCAACTCATCGCATCTGTTTTATGGTAAATATCATAGCATTACGTTGTGACGATATTATGGTACTTATAGTCATATTGCATGTATCTATGACGTGTAACTCTAACGAGTGTCGCTCTTATTCCACACACGTAATGCGATGGATACGCACTTATAATAAGAATGCGTAGGTACCAGGCGTTCAATTGCCTTCCGTGCTGGAAGTTATTATAATAAAGAATCCCGTTCTTCGATATGCCTGCCACACCACGCTGGTCTTTCCGCCGAGGTTTCGCCTCCCAGCCTTCTGTCTCTGGTTTATTTTGAGGGAAGCACGCCATATTTCTGTTTATTTTTGCTGGAGTATGCCTTCACAAAAAACTGCTCAGAGTATGCTCCTCTTCAAACAAACTCGCTCTGTTTTGTATCGAAAACCTTCAGGCTTCAGTCCGTTACCGGAATACAGAAGATCTCGGCTTCTTTTTGCGGCCGTCCCATTATGTTCAAAGATCAGCATCCCGCCACAGTCTGGCTGAGGCTGGCGTTTACTAACAATCTCTACGTGATCCGATCGGTTGCAAGAAGGGGCGCAGGCCTTCTGGCTGCGTTTCGTCAGCGTCCTGCGCACCACTCGCCGGAATAAGATATCGCTCGATAGACAGACATCTGGGAATCGTGATGCAAGAGCGGTGTGCGCGCTGTTCGTGGTACAATGATGACATCACATGCCTACGTGTTTCTCGGGTGCTAACGGCTGCTTCTGTCTTCACAGCAACATCCGAAAACTATCATGGTATGTGACGAAGACGCGACGCTCGAGCTCAAGGTCAAGACGGTCAAGTATTTCAAGGTAAGTAGCAATTTGGTGGTAATCGTATCCTCCCTTTTCTACGATGGCTGGCTACCAACTGGCGTTGTAGGCATGTGTTCTCAGTTCTCACTTCATTTGGAATGTCTTGTGAATGAAACTATGAACAATTGCATCTTTGTTTTCGCTGAATTTATTCGTGTAATTACAAAGTGCGACCCAACATCGTACATTATGTTTTTGTGACTGGTATCATTTAAAGGCCTTCAATACATCACCATATTCGACCTGTCAATACTATCACCTTAGACAATATGATGAGCTCTTTTTGACGGCGTATTGCTGCTCATACGCATATATGTAGGGTACTACTGTCCCTTTCCCGGAAGCTGACGGCGAATCAGCAAGCCCCAGACACACAATGCGCTTAGTAGATAATAAGCAGTCGAACAAGTTTGGCCTACGATATGTCGCAAGGTGCCCCGACTGTTCCAAACCAGAAATATTAACACATTAGATGACGGTCATAACTTAGACGTGTTTATACCACTCGCTGAAATATGACACTGACTCCAGACTGCAGTATCCTTGATATAACCGACGAGCGAAGTGTGCTATGTTTAATGTGGACACACATTTCTACGCAGCCTTTCTCCGCGTGTTGTATATTTGCGACATGTAGGGGAGAGTGGAGCAAAGCGGCCACCCGGGGCAAAGCGGCCACCCATCGTTTTAGCCCTTCATAGCTGGCTCAGTTCCAATTTATGGTTTCCAATTATACTTCTCTTCACGGTCGTTCGAATGAGCCAGACCGGGGCTTCAGGCCTATCACCATTGTTCTGTGAAACACGGAAAAGCGTTTCTTGCCAGGTTACCAACTATGTTTACAATTTTTAAATGTTATGTTATTCCATAACCGTTTGGAATTTCTATAAGCGTTCTTGTCCATGCATTGCATGGTTATCGTACATGTATTCTACCAATTTTAATGTTTTTTTTACCCCACTAATAGCTAAGCTGAAATATTTTTGTCTCGTACGGTATGCGCGGGGCAAAGTGGCCGGGGCAAAGTGGCCACCCCCAATTGGCCATAAGTTGTTTCCATTTGGATAAAAAACTTTATTTATGTTCAAATGTGTCGTCATGCATTCATCTTGGCCACTTCTCAGTTGCATGAGTTGCCAAATAGCATATTTACGTCTGGACAACGAGTTGCGTTGGAGAGGCCGGAAATAGTGGCGATTTCAGGACCGCAAGAATGGACCGTCATTGGACCGATTCTTTTTGAAACCATACACTGTTTTCGGCCGGAATTTAAAAGTTACTACAAAATATTTTGTAACTATGTTTCCACTAAGAATGAATGCCATCAGGGCTAAATTTTTACTACTTTTGCATTTTGTCAAGAAGCATATAGTGCTGTTATATTGCAGTTTTTGCGCGTTTGTTACAAAATATGAAGCGAATAAGCGTCAGTGTTATTCATCAGTGCCAGAAGTTAACTTGGGGGGATGCTATGCTAATTGCTCTTGTCCATCCACTAGAAGTTATTAAATATTTTGCTTTGTGTATTCCAAAAGGAGAGGGAACTATTTTATTTGTGCCTTCATGTCAGAATTGAAGGTGGATCATTAAATTTTCAAGGCAGTTTACAATGAAACAAGCATTAGGTCTTTCTCGTATATAAGCAGTGGCTAAGAAGAAAAGGTTGATCAATCCTGAAGTTCAGTCATCGTACCTCAACTTGGCAGCAAGATCCCCAAGGACAGAGGTTATATTGTATACCTGTCCTGTAAATCAAAGCATTTTTGGGCCTGCAAAGGCTTAAGCTATTTGTGGTGTGTTCGGAGTGAGGCTATATGGCCGTTTTTGTTGTATGTTTATGTGGAGATTGAATATAACTGTGACCCTTTGCTTGTTTGTATACTTACTATGGTCAAACAGAGAACAGCACATTCACATAAAATACTCACCTAGCACCTAACTCATAGCTGTACCCTGCAGGATCTGTACTTGTTCATGTCTCGAGCACTAACAAAGCACTAAAGAAGCTTAGTAATAATTTCCCACATTTTCTGAGCATCTAACATGACATACAGCAGTGCAGAGCAGCTTCAGAGAAGAAACACTTTAAATGCACAGACTCACACCAGCCACCAAATGAGCCAGTTCCTCAGCTGACTGTTTCCCTGGATGCAGCTTGGCAAGGTGAGCCAAATGTGAGCTAACTATAGGCAAGTTGAAGGTTAGCAGTTAAGATTGAGCTAGGGTGAGTACCTACCTATAGCTGGGTGCTACTGCTATGCAGGTCTTGGGTAGGCTGCAAATACGTGTGACGATTGAGGTTAGGTCAGCTGTCAGGTTACTCAGGTATGCTCATTGCTCAGGTCACATTTTTATGGACACTTGGCAAATTAAAAACTAACATAACCTAATCTAAGCTAACCTGACCTACACAACTGCTGACTATAGGAACTAAGCACCTACCTACTTTACGTGCCTACATATCATATACCATTTCAAAACTCAAAGTAGAGTTCCTTGGTGGAAGATTACCCTCAGTACTTTTATCCCAGCCCTGTGAAGAAAACTAATACTTCTAAGCTCTGAGTCACTGCTGGCCATCCACAGGAAGAAACACTGAGACTGAGAGCTTTGCCATTGTATATTGGACCAACAATCATAAATCACTATCATGAATGACTATGAACACATCATATGATCACATTGTTGCATGGATTGTCACATTTACAATTTTATAACAATCCTTTTTTCAAGAAATACAGTAATGATTAACATCAAAATCAACATAAAGTGGATTTAGTGATCCAAGCTTTCTCCTCCAGTTGCAGTAGCAATGGCATGATCGCATGTTTCATTTGCCAGACAATGAGTACCTGATGCACATTACAATCTGCATAGCATCTAAGCATAATAAAGCTGCCAAAGTCCATTCATTCTAGATTTTTAACTTGATAGTTAGCACTTATTTATCTTGCTGTTGTAAGTTATCATTCAATATTCATGCCAATACATCAATATGCGCTCATCAGTCAACATTTTCTGGCATGATCCTGCTCAGCGTGCTCTTCAGTATTGCTCCAAGATCTGCAATATTATAGCTTGTTTTCGGCCAATAAGCTCTTTTAATTTTACTTTTTTTGCTGATATATGAGCCCGATCAACTTGCGTTTATCAACCAAAATTTCATAACTTCGAGTTCAACTTGATATTGATATTGCTCAGGAGTCAGGACCTCTGTCAGCCTCCTGGATACTTCGGATTGTTTTTAGTCACATGCTTCTTAAATATGATATAAGTCAATCTTAAGGGATCCAAAACATCCAACAAAACGACGTACAAGAGTACGGAAACCACCAGATAAACTCAAAAAGCGCCTTGGAACAGAGCCAAGGAGCCAAGTGGTGCTCCATTTGTTTGTTTACAATGATTGTAGTGCTGATGTATTTTTAGGACTCTGAAGGTCGGCTTATAAAAAATGAAACGTTTTTACAAAAGTTGTAAGGCAAGTAATATTTATCTGAAAGAACTAAAATATTCAAAAGCCAAACACTATGAAATACATGAATCGGAACGAAAAAGTAACCCAAAAATCCAGCCTAATCAGCGGCTCCTAAAACTGCAACAAAATCAGCACTTTTCCCCGCAACTCGTTGTCCAGACGTAAATATGCTGCCAAATAATGCAATTAAATGTTTTTTCATGAAAATCCTTTCTTTGTTTACCTATAGGTGGAAGATGATAAAGTAAACATCCATCCTCGCTCAAACCTTGTCACCATCAAATACCCTAGTCGTACATGATGAGGGAACTATTTTGTTTCTCATATCGGGACTTGAGAAGACGCCGGTGGCCGCTTTGCCCCAGGGTATGGGGCAAAGTGGCCAATATGCATAGGTTTAAAGTTTTGTCAATATCTTCCATATGTGAACGCCTTTGGAAATAAAACGCAGTTGAAATAAAAGGCAACTTAATAGGGACCACATTGGTATAGAAAGAATCTTTCCAAGTTTAAAAATCAAGCGTTGACATCGTGAGAAGCGTTAGGGTGGCTGCTTTGCCCCACTCTCCCCTACTTTCAGGGTCATCGTTCCGCCTGTTTTGCATCAGTGTAGGAGTGTGTGCATGTGTGCTGAGGCTCGGCCTTTTCAGAGCCTGCATCAGGTGCACCAGCGGTTGATAGAGGAGGAGGTCTGTAGCTCTGACAAGGCTCACGGTAACGCCACTAGGAACGGTTACACGGCGTCTGGTCACGGTGACAAGGCGACTGGTAGCTAAACCAGTAAGGATGTACCGCCCAGCTCGCGCTAGCCTAGCCAGCCAGACTTGTTTGCCATCACGCCTGCTCGTAACGTCTGGTAGCAAGTGTCTGTTTTTTTTTGCGGCATGGCCTCGTTACCGACACGACAGGCCAGGCTGATCGGTGCCGTGCGTGTGTGTAACTGTAACATCGCTGCACCTGATTCCGGCTGATAAAGCGGTTTGACAGCGAAAACACAACAGTGTGATTTTATTTAACCTCATATCAGTTACCCACGGCGCTTGAAGTATCGACGTACCGCAGTTGTGTCGGAGAAACAGGTTTACATTTTATGAAAGCTTTACATATGATCCCTAGCTTCAAAATTCTGATAAGAATAAGCGACGTACTGCATGGATGTCACAAGGATCTGGCATTAAACCAGAGCGAGTCTGATCTATGCCTGGACATGACTTCCACATATTAGCTCTGCGGCGAGCCGAGGACGTCACCTATGCCACCAGTCCTCTCGTCAGCTGGTGGGCGCCACTGATAGGCTCCTTCCGCATTGAACTGGCCCGGCAGGATGTGAGCGGGAGCGGAGGCTACATTGCGCCATGGTGGGGAGGGCCGTCAGTTGCCGGGCAGCGACTCGTGCTCTGATAGTGCTCTGGTCACCGCGTGACGCCATAAAAAGAGCAAATATTGGCGATGAGTCGAGGCAATCGCCATCGAACACTGTTCTGAAGTTCGTTAGATATGGCGATGCCTTTCAAGAGTGGACAAAGTGCGGAATGTTGCGAAACTGCATATCCGTACTTCGTCTTTACTAACGACGGTTATCGAGATATGACTGAGGAGATATGCTCAATTGACCTGGCAATTCTGAGGGTTATTTCTTATTAGTGCAGTTAGTGTTCCGTGGTCAATGCCTTTGATGTGTGTTTATTTTTAGATTTGTTTGCTTCGGTAGTGTTTTAGCTGTCTTTTATTTGCAGTTACCTTATGACGATTGAATGACCGCTTTTGAGTTATCGTAACAGTGATTGCTTGCACATAAATCTCTGCATCCCATGCTTGGAATGTGTGTGTCTGTGTAGTCATAGTGTGTGATGAATTTTTACCTAACCATGTATACTTAGAGCTGTGTTAATCGTGTCAATTTCATGATCATGGGGTTGAACTCTCAAGCGTAAAGCCCCGTAACAATAGGTTAATTTATAGGTACACATGAACGCAGGAAACCAATAATATCCTTTTTACAGAATGGTGAAGTTTATTTGTACATTAAACTACGGTATCATTATTTAACTGATGTTGGGACATTTGTCACTGAGACACTGTGTGACCGGGGTTTTCCCACGGGCCACGAGAGGTCTGTGTCTGACCGTGTCTGTCTGACGTCCTCAGGAGCTGTGGTCGGTTCACAGCAAGCAGATCGACGATCCGGTGGCGTTCGAGTCGACCCGTCACGGCTAAGTGGCGCTGGCGGTCCGTCCTGCGATATCTAGGTGGCGCTAGCGGTCCGCCCGGCCGGCCGTCGGGGACCGGACGGACGGGCGCTGCTCTGCGTACGCTCACAAGACACGAACACAGACTGTCGCCTCGCCTCTGTTGTGGCGCCCTCGGTACTCGGACTCGACTGTCCTGGTCTGCTGTGGTGATAGCTTCTGTCGGTGGTGAAGGCTGCAGGTGTTGGGACGTCAAGGGTTGACGGTGCAGTGCCAAGTGATAATAACTGTAGTACACTATAGTATAGCCAGCGCCGAGTGATACGGTCGGTCAGTTTAATATTTGATATTAGTTTTCACAAACTCTGTGATACATATAAGAGTATATTCAATGCTATTCGCTCTCAAAGACGATTTATGCAGGCAGTGTTTACTGTTTACCATGACATTGGTTTTATAATGACCAGTTTGCCTCGTATGAGTCTGGTTGAAACTTGATGCCTTGTTTCTGGACTGGTTTTTATGGTACCCGAACAAAGATTTCCATGTGAAATACATGTACTCCTTTACCGAAATGTCTGACTGAAGGTATGGTGCGGAGAAGCATAGAAGAATGCGAGAGGTAGATCCGAAGACTGATGCGGAGATGCATCACAGTTAATTGTGTTCTGGACCTCTGAGTGGGTGCTGGGATAAAGTTCAATTGTTGTACTTTTATGCTCTTTCCTGGCTTGTAATTGGTTTGGTAGAAATTTGTCTTGAATTGTAAATAGCGTCATGACACGTGGGCCATTTCATCTCGTTGAAAGATGTTTTCAGAATGTTGATTTTGGGCCGAAGTGGATGGAGGTGGGATCATATATGGTCTCACACAGTATATGTAGGTACTGTGATCCATGGGTCTGATGGAGGGATCCGATGGCGCGGGAAATAGATAAAAGATTAAAACGTAGTCTTTTTTGCATAAGGGCAAGGCCCATAGGAATTATGACGGTCATAACCCCGTGCCCCTGATTGTGGGTCATGATCGCATTTAATAATCAAATGATCTCGCATCGGCGTTTTTAAGTTTGCTCCGAAGACTGAAGATCAAGAACCGTTCGATTTGCGCCTGCCGCCTACCCCATCACAGGCGGCGGAACGGGGAGGGCACCGGGGCACCGTGCCCCCTTTGATTTAGGCATTTTAACATTAGCCCTATGAGCCTTGCATGGAAAGAATGGGACCAAAGGACAAAAGTCGGCAGTGTCCCGCCCATGCCCCAGAGCCTATTTTAAGGGAATTTGACTGGGGGGGCAACCTGGAAAATTGTCTTTAATAATCCATTAACCCTCGCCCGTATTGGTGTTTCCAGTAGCGAGCGTATAGGGGGGGGGGGGGTCCGTTGGACCCTCCCCCTTGCCGTTTCGCCCCTGATCGAGCTAGAGCTTCGCGGAAAAAAACGACCGTGTTGCCCGTGATAAAAGGAAGCCGATTATACCCAATTTTAAGGTCCTAGGTCATCGGTTGACCTTCCAGGTCAGGTCATTGACCCAAAAGTCGGGAAAATCGGGACCTGTTAGAGCGTCGTAAAGAGTGGCTGCTATGGTTTTTCGGGGTGCTGATCACGAATATCATGTTAGTTATGATCATAGATGATGTCTTCATGCATTTAGGCCAGGTCAGGTCAGGTCAGGTCAACCAGTAAGGGTTTTGCCGGGTATTCGTAGTAGGTGGCAACCGCCTCTGGCAGCTTCGTAACATGTTACGAAGGCACCAAAACTACTTCGTAAATGGTCAAATGGTTGCTTAATTCGAATTCAGCTCCAAAAACTAGCCTAGAAAGTAGAAACATATAAAACTCGAAAATGTGAACCGAGGTCTTCAAAGGTAAATGATCTGACCTGACCTTCCGGTGATCTTGACACCCACCCTAATGCATGGGAGCTACATCATATCCCATGTTTGAACGTTTGAAACCACGAAAAGACTGCAAACGCACGGCTAATGCGAGGCGACATACGCCGAATCGCGACCTCGGCCAAACATCGTGCCATGGTGCTAGGCCGCCGGTGCATCTGAAAGAACTGTGGTGCCCCTGACAAGCCTGAAGTTCCAACGACAGGCCCGTGGTGCCCCTGACAGGCCCATGATGCCTTTGCGAGGCCGGTGGTGTCCACGTGAGGCCGGTGGTGCCCCTGGGCCCTGACAGGACTGTGGTGCTCCTGACAAGCCTGGAGTGTCCCCGACAGGCACGTGGTGCCACTAACAGGCCCAAGGTGTCCCAGTCCCTGCGAGGCCGGTCCCTGCCAGGCATGTGGTGTCCATACTAGGCCTCTGGTGCCCCTGACAGGTCCGTGGCGCCCTTGCTAGGCCGATGGTGCCTCTGGCAGGCCTATGGTGCCCCTGGCGGGCCTGTGGTGGTACCCCTGACAGGCCCAAGGTGGTGCCCCTGCGAGGCCGGTGGGGCCCCTGGCAGGTCTGTGGTGCCCCTGGCAGACCTATGGTGCTCTTGCTAGGTTGATGGTGCTCCCAACAGGCCTGTGGTGCCCCTGACAGGCCGGTGGTGCCCCTGGCAGGCCTGTGGTGTCCCCGGGCCCCAAGAGGGTGGGGGGTCATGACCCATATGACCCACCCTTAGATACACCACTATATATTAACACATGGTTTCCCGTGTGTAAATGGTTTTAACGCACGACGTGGATGGATTGGAGCACGAGTGTGTTAATGCACGAGTGAAACGAGTGCATTAACGCACAAGTGCTCCATTCCATCCACGAGTGCGTTAAAACCATTTATGCACGGAAACCATGTGTTAAACTAATTAATACATGCTTAACGGTGCGAATTTAAATTAAAGTAAACTTAATCCATGACACTAAATGGGCCTTTTGTGGGAATTCTTAGAATAAAGTCAATGACCCTTCCGAAAAACTTCAGTCGAGAAATTCATCAATGCACGCGCGTGCACCAATTTAAATTGGTGCACGGCTACCTTCGAATTAAAGGGACCCTCCCACCTTAAAGGAAATAGTTCACTTTTTAACATGGGTTTTGAACTGGAATAGCAGTTCCGTAGCTTGGGCTGAGACGAGCATAAATCAGGAGCTTTTACAGCCCAACGATCACCCTAGGCAAAGATATTCTATTTCTCGTCCCGAAAAAGGTGTCTTGCGTTGAGGATGTGTGCCTTGCATATATTTCCATCCAGTATGAAAAGAGCATTGGTCCCGAAAATTCTTCAGAAACTAGAGAAATTATCTACGAGAACTCTAGAGAAATTCTCGTACTGATCAATTAGGACATTCAGGGGAACATTATCAGATCGAGCAGATCGCCCAAATGCCGGTGGCTGCGATAATTTCTCTGTTTCTGAAGAATTTTCGGGACCCATGCTCTTTTCATACTGGATCGTGTGTGCCTTACAGAAACTGAAAAGTTCTTCCTATATCAAAATATAGAAAATAATATTTTGTTATAAAAAGGTTTTATTTTCTTTGCTGATTATTTTGAACATAAAAAATCATAAATCCGTTGCAAAAAAAATAATTTCGTGAAAGTGAACTATTTCCTTTAACATTAGATTTGAGTTGAGATAGCCAAAATGGGGTCCCTGGCTCACAATTACCGGTTTCGGCACTCACAACATCGAGAAATGCCTTAAATCGGAAATATTGAATTTCAAAATTGCAGCATTTTGATTCAGAGGGGCTAATGCTTAGGAGTACCCCTCTGAATGTGTGACGTCAGCGCAAATATCTAACGATTTTTAAATGTTTGACTAAGACGTTTTGTAGCACGCGGTGGTATATGCTATTTGCGCGCAACATCTGCCGCAAACGCCGCACTTCTGAAATAAAGTCGCTAGAAACAGCGGAGATCCCAAAAAAGTAAACAAAAGTAAAAGTCTAATATCTTGAAAACCAGTGAACATTTTTCGGTGAAATTTGGTAGATATTCGTTTTCGCTCTTTCTGAACCAAGCGACATCACTTTCATGCCAATTCGTAAACTTTTTTGAAGGTGGGAGGCAGGGACGTCGACACCGGTCCGACTTTTCCGACTAGTCGGACCACTTTTTCGACTAGGCGGTGCCCTGCTGTGCAGTGGCGGCGCCACGAATTTTCGCCAGTGGGGGCAATCTTGAGGTAACCCGACTGTGGTCTGATACCTACCCCGATCTGCAAAATCCATGAGCACCTTGCCCTTAGATGTGTTGCCATTCAAAATTATTAGGGTTTCAGGTTTCTTGCATACGTATTGAGCTTAACCATTAACCCTCGCTGGCCCGGAGGGGGGGGGGGGGCGTTTTTTGCCTCCCCCTGGAGAATATTTGCAATATCTCGTGAACGCTTAGGGATAGAAAGACGAAACTTGCTGTACCTTATCCCCCATTAATTTGAGATCTTTTGAAGCAAGCAAATTGAACCTAGCCTTCTTGATAACGTCTCGGGGCCGATTTTCCTAGACTCCTGCACGGCAAACTTCTGCGTCACAGACGTGAACTTCAACCAGTTGCCAAAAATAGAGTTTTAGAGATAAAGACAAATTACGAGCACGGTTGTGTAGCATTTGACCTAGAAAAATACTTAAGCAACTGCGGTGACCTGAGGTTAGAGGTCAGGTCAACGACCTCGAGCTGGGGCTTTAGTTTTTTTTTCGCAAATAACTTCAACAAAAATGGTCCAAGAGCTACGGCAGCGGTACCATCGCATTGGTCTCGTCGAGACGTGTCGAATGACATATATATTGTTTGGAAAAGGTCAAGTTTTATGTTGACCTCATGTGACCTCGAATGACCTTTGGTTGACTTTGACACATGAAAGGGCGTGATGATTTCGTTGCCGCTGATCACGATTCTGGCATCCATTTTGCTCTTAGCATTCATTTAGAGCCTCAGGATGGCAAAACATGTCTTAATTATTATGTTTGACTTAAATAAGTGAAATAACCTCTAGTTGAGTATCCATGACAGATTGGATAATGATGTAAATAATAAACCAATTAATACAAATCAAATATATTCAAAATACACAAAGCTTTCGGCTTAAACAGCCTTGATCACTGTGAGTTGTGACAATGTATAATCGGTACAACACAAATATTCGCAGTAACCGTCTAAGAATTCTTGAAAATAATGAATCGCGTGTTTCTTGTTTTACTAGCCAACTGCCGATTTTGCTGCCATCGATGACCAAGTAATGAATCCATTTCTACTGTTGAATGTGTCCCGTGTGATAATATGAGCCGCTTCCAGGATCTTTCTCGTTGATTTCTTCATGTTCTTTTCTAATATTTTCGTATTTTCCCAATCAGGTAAGTGGTTGCATTGTTCTATGTGTAGCACTATCGCGTTTGAAGTACGATGGAATTTTACGTCGCTTTTATGCTCTTTTAAACGAACATTAACCCCCCTTCCCGTTTCTCCAACATAAGTTCTTTGGCACCCCTTGCACGGTATTTCATAAACTACACTTTTGGCATCATTTATGTCTTCTCCACTTTCTTTATGTTTGACTATTTCTTGAATTTTCTTTCCCGTCACAGTGGCTACTTGTATGTCTGACTTTTCGAGTGTTCTTGATATGATG